AAATAAAATGAATTTGAGGACCAAGGACTTAAAATTTTGCTCTCTTTGGCTTCTAGCAATAAAAATGAATAAATTGGGTCAAATAAGGGCTTTTCTTATGAGATAAAAGTGATCATGAAATTTATCGTGCTTAGCTATGAACCAATTTATGTACTATAGAAACATTGCCTGGGCTAAGAGACTTGGCCAATTAAACTGATTGTGTAGGTCAGAGTACAGGTTTCTGAGATCATACAAAATTATAAACTGAAAGGAATCATTACACAATGCTTCTAAATCTACAGTATTCTAAGCATATTTAAATTTGAACTATAAGGCTCAGATTCCAGATGTTCCAAATATCTTGGTCCAATAATAAGAAAATAATTGGGGGGGGCACATCTTTTTTGTTTTTACCCATTTTATTTTATTTTTATTTCAGCATATTATGAGGGGTACAAATGTTAAGGTTACGTATATTGCCCATGAATTTGTTTTTTTAATCTCAGCTGAGGGGAGACTGTTTTTGCCAACTCCCCTAGGAGTTGCTGAAGCATGAATGGGCACACATTCATTTTGCTTCTATTTTGTTTGTTTGTTTTTTCATTTTCTTACGAGGTTATGGTTCTTTTCCCAAAATACTAAGGAAAAAAAATTTCCTAAATGTTCCCTCTCACTGAATAATTTAAAGGAAATGGAAACTTTACCAACCTCAATCTCAAAAGGACATGTAATTTGCAACTTATGACATTTACATTGAATAAATTTTACTTTATTATTTCATTGCATTATAGTCAAGAACATTTATTTCTATATCCCTCGATTACAATCTTAGGGATAAAATTCACACCAGATGTCCTCAGTTGGGCCCTGCAAAGCAGGATGAAGGGAGGACCCACTCACTAAGCTCTGTGAGGTATAGGACAAGGTCTGCCTGGAAAGTATCCACCACTTAATATGAAAAATAGAGACATGTACTGAAGAAGATACAAGAAACATTGTACATAGGACAATGATGCCTCAGTCCCCTTCAAAGTAGCACCTCGGGACCTCACACAGTTCTCCCACTATTCAAAACACTCTGCTAAATCCTGTGTTGGAATCACCCTATTAGCTAACTTATCATACTTTCCTGAATGTCACTGACCGTCTGAAATCTCTTCCTTTTCAAAGGTGATTTTAGTTTTGGGAAAAGCCTGAAGTCGCAGGGCACCAAATCTGGGTTGTAAGGGGGTGGAGTCACTGGAGTGATTTGATGTTTTGCCAAAAAACTCTGCAGGAGAGTGATGTAATGCATGGGTGGGTGCATTGTGGTGATGAAGCTGCCAATCACCTGTTGCCCATAGCTGCTGCCATTCTCCCACCTTGCCTCTCAACCAATGAAGAACACTGAGGTAGTATTACTTATTAATTGTCCTGGGGGAACGTACTAGTGAAGGACAATGAATTCACAATCAAATAACACAGTTAACATGGGCCTGATCTTCCTGCGACTTTGCCCCACCTTCCAGCAAGGAGAACCAGGCGATTTCCACTGGGACTGCTGGGCCTTCCGTTCTGGATATAGCTGTAGACCCACATTCATCTCTGGTTATGACCTTCTTGAGGAAAATTTGGTTCATCAGTAGCAGTTTGAAGCAAGTCGTTCACAAATGCCGCACGTGTTCCTTCTGCTCTGGTAGCAGAAGGTGTGGAGTGCATTTTGCTATGACGCATTTTATGCCAAGATCCTGTGTCAAAATCTCGGACGTAGTTTTTGGAATCCCATCAGCTTCTAGATTTTGCACTGCCCAATGCTGATTTTTGTTGATTGCAGCCCTTATACGTCCAACATTCTCAGGTGTTCTGCTTGTTGCAGGCCTTCCAGACGTGGATCACTTTTAACAGATTCTCGACCATCTTTGAAGTGTTTGTACCACACTTTTATTTGCACTGCACTCATTGCATCATCCCCGAAAGTCTCCTGAATCATCTTAAAAGCTTCCACGGAGGAACATTCAAGCTTAATGCAAAATTTGATGCAGATTTGTTGCTCTACTCATTCAGTCATTTGAATACGACAGTACACATGGTCACTCACGGGCATCTAGTGCCCCACTGACTAGTACAGTAAGGTGGTCATTGTTCCCACATGCTCATGACTAGTACACTCTCTTTGGCCAATATTGTGCAAACCATTCTTGTTACATTAACAATGGCTGGATACTTTCTGGACAAACCTTGTATGCTTAGCCTTACAAGAAGAGATGCCTTTTTCTAATTCTTGTAAAAAGCATGGAATGAATCAACTGTGTAGAATAGTGTTACTCTTCTGCAAACAATAAAATAAAAAATAAAGATACCACCCTAATTTTATATCACAGAGTTCACTTAAGATGTACCAAGACTAGTCCATTAAAGTGTGGATACAAAAAATTAGAATGTCACTTTATTGAGCTGATATAATTTCATTTTCATTTTCATGATGAAAACATACATTTTAAGACCTTGTCTGATACTCAACTACACACATATTCTTACCCTATTAAGACTTTTCTAGACTTTTTATTACTTCATTAAGTGTATGAAGTGAAAAAATATTTTGAAATGCATTCATGTGCCTTTCTTTTTCTCTTGTACTTATGTATAAATGATCCTTATCAGATTGAGCCAGAAAAGAAAAAAATCTTTGTCTTAAAGAGAGATGGGATTGCAGAATGTGAAGATATAAAAAGAATTGGCATAAAACTTTTTAAGTTTTAAAACTAATCTTGAAAACTATTTCAGAAAAAATGGCCTTCAAAACTGGGCTTTAAATTTCTAGAGCCAGACACCTGAAAGAGAAAAGCCTTTTCTAAATTAGAAAGGCTTCCCTTTAAATATACAAAATGAAATTTGGAAAACAGAGCTTAGGGTTTTACTATAAGCTATCAAGTAGGACATACAATGCATAAGAACTGTTTCTTACCACAAAGTAAAAAATATTAATAACCACCCTTTGCTGGCTGAGGGAGGAGCCTGGAAGAGGGAAGAGGAAGACAGGGGTTGTTCCTGTCCTATGATCCATTATCACATGGAACATGTATGTTAAATATGATGTATTAACTGTTCCTATTTAAAATATATTTAATGCTGTGCCTCATAGCCTATAGTTACAAAGCATAAATATGCTGAAACTAATTCTCAGCCAATTCATTCAACAAATAATTATTGAGACCTATTATACACTAAACACCTAAAAATAATGCAACAAATTGGGAAATCACAGAGAGGCTTTTCTCTCTCAGCTGTCTGGCTCTAGAAATTTAAAGCTGAGCTCTGAAAGCCATTTTTCTTAAATAGTTTTCAAGATTAGTTTTAAAAATTAAAAAGTTTTTTTCTTTTCTATTTCAGGATATTATGGGAGTACAAATGTTTAGGTTACATATATTGCCTTTGCCCCACTCAAGTCACAGCTTCAAACATATCCATCCCCCAGACGGTGCACACTGCACCGAATAGTGTGTATATACCCATCCCCTCCTTCTCCCTCCCACCTGCCCGACACCCAGTGAATGTTATTACAATACGTGCACTTAGGTGTTGATCAGTTAATACCAGTTTGGTGGTGAGTACATGTGGTGCTTATTTTTCCATTCTTGGCATACTTCACTTAGTAGAATGGGTTCCAGCTTTTGAATCAAGAAATAGCTATATAACTATATTCTTTTATAAATACAGACCTTCCACCTATAACCAGTCCCTAATAAAAGTTAGAAGAGCATAGAAGGATAATTACATGATCTTAGGACATGAAAGGATACGACTAGGGAATTGGATTGGAGTTACTAAAGGAAGGACACTGTTTGTCTTTATGAGACTGTCAATCCTCTTTGACTTTTTAGACTATGTGCTAAAAGTCTATATATCACTGTAATACAGATTCATTTATACAACATAATTCACAAAATAAAAACAAACAATAGAAAAATTGATATATAAAACACACAAAGCTATACTAGAGTCGCACATTTCACAAAAATGTAAAAAAAATTGTAAATGGGCAAAAATTTTAATAGTCCATTCAATTAAAAATAATAATGATTACGTTTGTTGCACAGTTTTCCCTTGCTTATCCCGCCCCAGCCATACTCGTCTTCCTGCAAGTTCCCACATTGGGGGGCTTCCCTTTGGGCTCCATTCAGAAAGAATTCATCCGTCACTCACTCATTCATCGTTTCCCTTCTTCTGAATAGCACCTAACACCATCTGCAACACTTTCTATTTATTGGCTCATGGCCTGTCTCCCTAACGAGAGCAAGGATTACCTGTTTCATTCACTGGTTTATCTCCAGTGTCTATGGCAGTGCTTCTCATGCAGGAGGCATTACACTTTTCTTTCTTTTTGCAGCAACTTTATAATATTGGGATAAAATGAAATTAATGGGAGCTCTGCTAGTCAGGAACAGATTAGTAAATGACTGAATCCCCTTATAATGGAATGCAAATCATGTTATACATGGAGATTTGAATATTTAATGGCATCATTTATTGCAAAGTGAATAAAATATTTTCATTCATCTATAGAGCAAATCTGCACACTTAAACTGTGATAATATGTGTATCACAAATACACATCAGAATGAGGAGAGAGAGAGAAAGGAGAAGGGGATAGGGAAGTAGGAAGATAGAGGAAGAGGGAAGGGACAGGAGGTGGAAGAGGAGATGGAAAAGGAGGGAAGGGATTTGAGGAGGAGAGGAAGGAATAATTTGAAACACAACATACTAACAGTGCTTTCCAGAGTGATGATATTACAAATTAGTTTTGTGTACTTATCCATGCCTTTCTCTATTTCTATGACATTCACGAGAACATTCATTGCCTTTTTAATTAATTTTTTTTTTCAATTTCGTATGAAAGAATATACTCAGGCTTCTCATTCTTTAGTTTAAACATTTATCTTTTCAACAGCACTAGCCTAGGATAAGGTGGTGAGACAGGTATTTGCAAGCCACATAATGAATATTCCCTAAAAGACACATCCAAAGACGTGTTCACTTACTGGGTATGATCCACCAATGGCCTGTGGGTTTCTTCTCCGTGATGAATAGTAATCCCGTTACCAAGTCCCCACCTGAATGTGTTTGAATCTCGAAGTAAATTTACTGGGATTGGCTGATACCATTTACACAGGTTTCCTCTTTCAAAGCTGCAAATTTCCCCAACTTGGAGGGTGGAACAAAGCAAAAATGAACTAATCACAATAAGCATGTCAATAAATGGCCATTCCTATCAGTACTAGCACTTTGTACTCTTGTTTTTTTTTTTCAAAAATAGAATCTATCTTTTAAGCATTATTGAAATAACTAGGCAAATGTTTGTATAATCCTAGAAGAGTGTCAATGGTACCTAGGTTTATTCTATTCAAATGTTCATAGTAACTGAGATATGGGAATAAATGCATATGCTCAATCTGTTTTCATGAGGAGTTAAGATTTTAATTAGCTCCTAAAGCAGCAAATTAAGCATCATCAGTCTCTTCTAATATAGCACTTGCATTGCTTGCATGACCTCCAAGTTCTGACAAGTCTGTTCTCCTTTTCCCACAATAATATTATGAAATTCAACTTGAGCTCAGTCTCTGAAGGGGTTATTGCAAATTCCAAACAAAATTTCCAAGCAATGAGGTTTATAATAACTTTTATACTGGATCCATTTCCTTGAAAGTTTTAAAGATTTTTGTCATGATTTTATTCTGATGTCACAGAAATTAAAATCCCAGTGATTTTTAAAAAATATATATAGGTTATGTGTGAAAATGTTTTCTGAATCTTCTCTCCTCTCCCTCTGAATATGTTCATGTGTTTATCTTAAATCCTCCACTACTTGAATTAAAACAAAACAAAACAAAAAAACAATTCAATGAATTCTTGTGTATACTACAGAAAATCTGGTATATACACCAGCTTTTAAATGACATTAACAATGACAGCATACCACTACCACCATTTAGAAACTTGGGTATGTGAGTTAATGTAAAATCTGAGATGGAAACACTCCATTGGAAAACTGCTTTTTAATCATGACATTCAAGTGTGCTATTTAATCTCTGATATTAATATGAAGTACATAACTATCTTGTGTAGATATTTAGAATTCAGTATAATCCTGTTCTTCATATCACTAAAAAGATAAGAATTATAGGCTTTCATAAAACAATTAGAAGCCATGAAGTGTCAGTCAAGCAAGATGAATAGGTTCTAACGATCTGTTATACAGCATCGTACCTATAGTCAACAATAATGTATTGTACACTTAAAAATTTGTTAAGAGGGTAGATTTCATGCTTAGTGTTCTTACCATAATTTTAAAAATTAGAGATTGTAAGACTAGTTCATAAGAAGATTTGTCATAATATTTCATCTTGCAAAGAGAAGGAGGAGGCGAGATCATAGTTTGTTCTTAAATGAAATGGTAATGATTCAATTTATATTTATTCACAATAAAAAACCTCTATGATTTAAAAATAGTAATTTAATCATAGAGATTCATTCAAGACATTTAAAGAAATTTATCAAAACTTCCTACCTAATCATAAATGATATTACTAAAATAACAAAGCTGAACTAAGAAGAAATTCAGCATTCACTAAAGATACTCACTAGGTGTAATTAATTTGGTTTTGTGTAAACTTTGATAAACATTGCAATTTATACAGGATCATAAGGAGGTTTTAGTATCTTTCCCTAGGAAGGCCTGAATACTATAACATATTCCATTGTGCTATTTTCCATCTGTGATGCATAGTATCAATCCCGGGCTAGCTTGAGTTAGTTACTGTCCCATCTCATTCATGAAGTGAGTCAGCATTGCTTTTATGACTTTTTTGGTCTAGAGTAGATAGTTGATTCATGATGTATTTATACATTGAGAAGCATTTTTCTTTTCAGGGTGGCACGAACAGATATGAACCTTACTGAATTTCTCAAGCCCTAGAATTTCTTGCCAAGGCTGATATAAGACACCTAAAAGTATCATGATTCTCTCTTGTGTTATCCGTATGTTCTGAACCCTTAGTATTATTGAGACACTTGAGAACTATTATGATATAGTAAATTCACACACTACTCCCTAAAGAGCAGGGAAGGGAAAGGTTTTACAAAGTGTTTACTACTTCTGGTCTGGTGCTTCTCCCATTCAGACACAGATTAATTTTTCTCCTCTCAGATTGCATCTTTCACTGAGAAGTCCACTCTTAAATGAAATAATTTGCTTTTGATCCATTTAGGAAAAGCCATTGAATTGGTAGGTACCAATAAATGAAAACCAGGACACAGGGGTTGAAGGTCCCATCTGTATTAAAATTGGTTTTCTCACGACCTCTGTATAGTTGATATAGCATTCATGTTATATGTGCATTTTGGCAATGACAAAATTTGAATTTGAATGAATTAATCTAATGTGAGAGTATTATAATGCTTTCTACCTAAATATTCCTTATTTGATAGCGTAAGGAGTGGAGACCAATGGGGGATGGACAGAGAAGAGCTACTAAATGCTAGTCCCAGAGTAAAGTCAAGTCTATGAAAATAATAGTTTTGAAGCCACACCATTAGTCTCAAGATACTTACCTGTTGTTGGGCTTGACAGAAAATTGCATGCTGATTCTTCTACACTTTTCTATACAACTAACTCTTACACTAAGAAATTGCTCTAAAACACATTGCAAATTTTTAAGTATGACACTAGGCTGTGCTACTTAGAGATTACACTAGTATTTTCTTGTCTATTTTATAGCCATATTTTATATAAAATTTAGAAATTCACCTACCACAGGATGATTCATCTGATTTGTCAGCGCAGTCATATCTAAAATCACATTTCTGAATTTTTTCAATACAGTGACCATCGGACCTGCAGACAAATTCATTGTCTGTGCAGTTGTGTGGAGGAAGTGTCACAGGGACTGAGGTTTCTGGTGGAGTCGGAAGGTCCACTGGCAAATGACCTTGATAAGAAATAATATACAGGCATCATGTAGCAGGTTTTCCATTTCTTTAAAGATTATTACCAAGGAAAAATCTAAATATTTTTACTAAATATGTTTTGCATTGAATGTCATAAAAACATTGCATAGTATTTGCTCATCTGCTAAACTCCTTTATGTAAGCATATAAATTGGGGTTCTAGGTCTTTAAGACCAATAGCAAATAACTGAATATCTTTGATCATAAAAACAGGTGAAGTTTCAGATGTAAATTATTTAAAAATCTACTCAGAGCTCAACAAACAAATGGGAGGCCCAAGAACAACACTGGGAGGACCAGCAGGAACCAAAGGAGTTCCAGATGCTGGCATTAGAAACCAGAATCAAGGTCTGAATAGACCTTCTAGTCCACTAGGGAAAGAAACTTTGTTCTCCCACTGCTATAACAAATCTAACATCTTCTTATCTTTGTTACACATACTCTCAGATACTTAACATCAAGTTTGCAGGAGAGATTCAAATCAGATGTCTTCATCTATAAGTTTCAAAATAAGATTATAATTTCTGAATTTACTCAGGTTGAAATACATTTATGTAAGTTTATGAATTTATACACAACAAACATGTATTGATAACATATTTGTGCCAGGTACCTGGTAGATGCTTTGACTCTAAAGCCAAATGTGCCTTCTCTGCCCTAAAATAGTTTACAGACTAGTAGAAAAGGTGGTCAGATGTATCTTTTATTACAGTTTCATGAGATAAGTTTATAGTGGAGATTATAACTCCATGGAAGCATGAGTGACATCTAGCCTTTCACCCTGCACCCATAGAACGATTTGCAGACCATGGAATATGGTGGTTACACTATCACAGCAAGTGAATGAATGGATGGATGGATAGTGGAAAGATGAGTGGAAGAATAACAGAGTGAATGAATGAATAAATGAACAAATGGGAGAAATCACAGTGTATTAAAAGAACACAGAGGAAAAGTATATATCAGATGCAAGTCAGAAAGACATTTTGGCAAGCTGATGCCTAAACTAACTTTTAAGGGATAATGATCTCATTTAGCTAGGTGAAGAAGAATACAAGGTCTTCACGGGCAATGAGAAAAAAATGTGTGTGAAGGCATAGAAATATATTGACCTAGTTTTGTATGAAATACTGTGAGAGTTTGGTATGAAAATATTAACATCTTGTGGTAAAAGAATGTATGATTGAGTCCTTAGATATGGAACTAAAGAATTCTCAGTGACTGGGTCAGAAAGAGCCAGGTGAGACCAATTTAGGAGTCTGAAATGAGTACAAAAACCCGTGTAGAAATACTAAGATTTAAAATCTCCACCTCAAGAAACATGCTTTTGGCATTAATGTGGAGAACGCATTGGAGGTGGCTCTGACATGGGGAAGAGAGAACAATTGAGCTGTTTCTTTAATCCAGACAGCCAATAAACCAAAGCAGAGATGGTTTAGAGGAGAAAGCAAGGATCTGAACAATATTAAACATCCAATATCTAGAGGACTGGGGGATTTGGGTGATTTGGGGAATTTGAGAAAAGTGCAATAACTAGTACTTTATTTCTTAGCACAAGTTCTGAAGCAATTAAGAAACTAAGATTGAAGACAGTAGATCAAAATGTCAGCTCTATATGGATAAAGCGAATACTAGAGAAAATGTCCTGTCTCTGTACACAAGTGATCCTCTAAAGTGTGAAACACAGCAATCGATAGACTCTCTAAGTTATAACCTGTGCCTGAAAACTTTCAGGTCTCCCTGTGTGAGAGCAAGGAGGGGTCGACCAGATCTTATCCTCCTATAGCTAGATAGCTCCAAAAAGAAAAGAGGAAATGAGAGACCAGGTATAGATGCTCAGATTCTCCTTGTAAACTCACCAATTCACTGTTGCTCATCCTTCCCCTGGGAAGGAATGAAAAAGATGGTGAAAAGACCAGGAATGTTAGTTAGGCTACTAGAGTCAGTCTACATGAAATGAGAGACCAAGACTAAAGAAAAAGTGTTCTGCCGCAGTAGAGGTGAATTAAAATGAGGAGTGGATTGATAAGTAGGTGATTATGCTATTCTCTGAGATCAGATAGATAAGATATATAAGAGAAGGCAGTTAGTAGAGAAAGAAAAAATTCTATGCCCAAACAGAAAATCAATGACAACTGTCCAAAAAAGCAGACCCTAGCATTCCACTCTCCTGCAGTTGGATATACCCACATCTAAGTCACTCAACAAAAATAAGAACCCAATTAAAATTGAAAATGATCACTTCTCACAGAAATCTGATGCATCCCATATTACTATAAAATTTGAAAAAAATAAAAGGGAAAATCATTGAATTATTTTAAATGCTGACATTTTGAAGATCTTTAAGTATCTAATTGAATCAGAAAAAGAAAAATCCACTAAACTTGATTAAAAATTAGTTTAAAATAAAGATATAATGAGATCATACGTCACTTCTGAGGGAATTTGCTATGAACTAAAAAAGATTCGATGGCCAGATTGATGGATATTTTATATGCCTCAATGGAATATACAAAACACATTCCTTTGAAAAACATCCTCCCAAATGTTTAAATAAAAGTTCATTTTCTAATTTAATCACTACATTTGTTGTGGCATTTTAAAGCATAATTCACTTATGTAGTTTTGCATAAAATACATTATGTAATTAAAATGCATTATAAAAAGATGATGGAAATGATTTATTTGTATGTCCTATATCAAAGAATGTCAACCAAAAAATGACATACTTTAGAGAGGTTCAAAAGAGTGTTTGCCTTTAACTAAAGCAGAATGGCATGTTCTTTCACTCTAGCACATGCTGATCCAAGTTGGTCTGTTCCATATGTTACATAACACAGTTTTAGTCTAAAACAAAGACTGCACATTTGGATCCCACAGAGAAGATTGCCATTTGCACTAAGAAATGTGTTCTATGCTCTAATTTAGGCAGCCATTTTGAAATGTGTTAACTTCAAGAGCAAATGAGTTAAATATACATTACTAGAACACTAAAAAGCTTAGATGAGAGTGGATCACAAATGTTTACATATTCTTGGCATTGCTGTACATTACATATTTTTGTAGGAGTAGAGAGTTACAATTAAGCATCTTGCCTTAACACATAGAAACTTCAAAAGGCACCTAACATAAACACATTATAAGATATCCTTCTCCAACTGTACTACTTTAATACTTGTTCCATAATGTACTTCTAGCCACAATTGCGTAGGACTTACTCATTTTTAATTTTATTTTTTTTCCCTCCAGAAAAACATTTTAGGGCAGGACATAAGTCCAGTGAATTGAGTGTCACTAACTTTTTATAAGTTCAGAAATTTATTCACCTGAGGCAAAGGAGACATCAATTGAACTGCTTTAGGTTTAATTACAGCTTCTTCTTTTCTTGTTTTCTGAATTTTGTTTAATTATGAATCATTTTAAACATTTGGATAAATTAAGAAATAGACGCATGACTCTACCACCAAGATTAAAGGAATTATTATTATAGCATTGCTCTAGATCCTTACACTATCAAATAAAGAAAGAAAGAAAGACTAAACAGAAAAAAAGAGGAGAGAGAAAGGATGGGAAAGGAAGGGAAGAGAATGGAAGGGAGGGAAGAAGGAAGGAAGAAAAGTAGGAGAGGGAGGGAGGGAAGGAGGGAGGGAAGGAGGGAGGAAGGTAGGGAGAGAAGGAGGGAGGGAGGAAGGAAAGGTGGGAGGGAAAGGAGGGAAGAGAAAGAGAAAACCTTTCTATAAAACTCATACCTAATTTTTCCTCTTTCTTCCCCTCCCCAATGTCTCCAGAGGGACTCTTATCCAAATACCAGTTTATGCTGATTTGTATTTTTCCATGTATATTTTCTAATAATTTTATTTTTGTTGTGGCAAAAAAACATAGGACATTAAATTTATCATTTTAACCATTTTAAGTAGTTATAGTTTAGTAGTGTTAAGCATATTCATACTATGTACAACAGATCTTTAAAATTTTTTCATCTCAAAAAACTGAAACTCTATATTCATTAGATACTAATTCCCCTTCCTTCATCCTCCAGCTCTCAGCATCCACCTTTCTATGTTTGTTTCCATGATTTTGGTTACTTTAGATATTTCATATGAGTAGAATTATACAGCATTTGTCCTTTTGTGACTGGCTTATGTAGTTTAGCATAATGTCTTTGAGGTTCATCCATTGTCTTAGCCCAGGCTACTATAACAAATCTTCATAGACCGAATGGCTTAAATAACCACCAATTATTTTCCCAGATCTGAAGGCTGTGAAATGTGAGGTCAAAGTGCCAGCAGATCGTGCTGGGTGAGGGCACACTTACTGGTTTGCAGTAGGCCTCTGTCTCCTGGTATCTACACCTACATCAGAGTGGCACATTTGTTAAAATCTAGTGAATCTACATTAATATGTCATTATCACCCAAAGTCCATAATTAACAATGAAGCCACTCTGGATGCTGTGCATTCTATGGACATTGAGAAATGCCTAATGACATATATCTGTCATTACAGTATCATACAGAATAGTTTCAGCACTCTAAAAATCCCCTGTGTTACATCTGTTCATCCTACCCTTTCCCCTAAATACTGACAACCGCTAATCTTTTTACTATCTGCTGCATTTTGCCTTTTGTTGAAATCATAAAGTATGTAGCCTTTTCAATTTGGCTTCTTTCACTTAGTAGCATGCACATAAGTTTCTTTCATCATGTCCTTTTGTGGCTTGAAAACTTTTTTTTTTTTTTTTTTTTTTTTTTAGTGCTAATACTCCATTCTCTGGATGTGTCTCAGTTTATTCACCCATGGGAGGATATCTTGGTTGCTTCCAAGTTTTGGCAATTATGAATAAAGCTGCTAAAAACATCCATGTGCAGGTTCTTGTGTGCATACACATTTTTAATTCATTTGGGTAAATACCAAGTTGTATGATCACTGGATCGCAGGATAAGAGTATGTTTAATTTTAGAGAAAAATGTCAAGCTTCTTCC